TAGATGGTGGTATCTCAAGATTCATGATGCAGTCATCAAATTTGAATTTGTTTAGAAAAAAATTAGATAATTTTGTATATATCTTGAAAAGTGAGAGCAAGTTTACTATATTATTTTTGTATGTGCATGATATTTTGCTCGCCAGAAATGACATGAAAATGTTGATCAAAATCAAGTTAGATCTTGGTGAAAGTTTAAGATGAAAGAGATAGGAGCTGCATCATATATTTTGAAATGAAAATAATTTAAGATAGAATGCCTAGAATGTTAAAAGTTTGAAGTCTAGAATGTTAAAAGTTTAAACTAAGAAAAATATTCAAGATTAGTTCTTATAAGGATTGGAATGGAGAATTTCATCATCCACCAACTCCATTAGTTATGGGAAAGAGATTGTATAAAGAGCAGAACTCTTGAGAAGGACCATTAGATATTCCTTATGCACAAGCAGTTAGAAGCTTGATGTATGCAATATTGTGCACTAGATCTAATTTAGCTTATACATAAGTCTGGTTAGCCGATATCAAAATAATATGGGACTAGCATACTTGGAAGCTATTAAAATAATTATGAAGTATATCAGAGGCACATTGACTCATAGATTGGAGTCTGTTTGGAGTCCTCGGTTACTCCGATGCTAATTTTAGAGGTGATAAAGATAATAGGAAGTCTACTTCAGTGCACTTATTCAACTTTGGAGAGGGAGTCGTTTCTTACTATAGCAAGAAACAATGGTGTATTACTAGATACACAGAGGAAGTTGAATATGTAGCTTGTAATATGATAACTACACAATGATGTCTAGATAAGATGGGTTTTGATTGATCTACTGCTCAATTTGTTAGAAGGAGCTATTGATATTTATTGTGATAACCAGAAAGTGATTAGCTTGATCAATAGTTGAGCGAATAGTTCTAAAGAAAAATACATTGAGATCCAATAGCACTACAGTTACAGTAAGAAAGGGAGAAGTTAAAGTGACTTACATCCTTATATATATATATATAGAGAAAAACTTATGTCAACTTATGTGGACCATCCACCAAAGTTTCTATCCATTGATGAAAAGTCTCTTCATATGATGCACAGATCTCTAGGTATCATCAATGGATAGAAACTTTAGTGAATGGTCCACTTAAGTTGACATAAGTTTTTCTCATATATATATATATATATATATATATATATATATATATATATATATATATATGTGTGTGTGTGTGTGTGTGCGCGCGCGCGCGCGCACCAACGAAATCTTTTATCAAACATGTAAGTTTGATGAGACTTAGGAATAAAGAAGTCAAGAAAATTTCATAAACAATAAAATGAGAATTACTATACACAAATAGTGAGAGTAATGGTAAGAAGAAAATATATGATCTCTGGATAGTAAGAAGAAAATATATGCTCTCATGGATAGTAAAAGGCATATTATTTAGTTTATTTGGCCGAGTGGGGGATGTCAATAATGGTTGACCAAATCAACCAAAACCCATGTGTCAAATAAAAAAAATAGAATTAATGGCATATTAAGTGAGAATAAATTGACCGTTAATGTGATATTATTCAAGGCTGTTAATGGTGATTATTCTGATGAATGGGTAAACTAATTTGGTTTAAATTGAGGCTGATTTGGGTTGGAAGTGATTGGGAGAAGAAAACCTCTATAAATAGTGTGCTTCTTTATAAACAGAATACAAGAAAGAATATCTATAAATCAAGGCTTTTGTTTATCACTTAAGAAACCATATGATTTTAGTCATTTACATGTGAGATTATTCAAGTATTTATAGTCACAACAGCAATTTTCAAGGATACGCAATGAAACATTGGTCGGGGGCCCATTATTCAAGTATTTATTGTGATTTACGCTTTGTACTGCTTTTCTTCTGGTAAGTATTTTGTATTGTGTCGTTTCATGCCACACATGGACGTTGTTAATGTGTTGATCAACACAGGGCACCTCTATTTGGACTTATGTAATGGCTCATATTTATT